AGGTGGCTGCTTCCCTCTGCTGTACGGTGTCGGTAAAGCTCAGAATCAAAACAGGATCTGCACAATTGCAAGGTTTGCTTTGCACTTCCAAGCAAATGCATAGCCACAGGGCTGTGCTTTCCACATAGATCAGCCAGATTTAGGGAGGTGTGGGCAGTTCCCCCACACAGGGCATCGAGCTGAGAGGGCGCAAGATGATGATGATGATGATAACTATATTTATATGAATCCCTACTGAGAAGATCTAGAGGATTAAACCACAGAGCCTAGGACTTGCCGATCAGAAGGTTGGCGGTTCGAATCCCCACGATGGGGTGAGCTCCTGTTGCTCGGTCCCTGCTCCTGCCCACCTAGCAGTTCGAAAGCACATCAAAGTGCAAGAAGATAAATAGGTACCGCTCCGGCGGGAAGCTAAACGGCATTTCCGTGTGCTGCTCTGGTTCGCCAGAAGCGGCTTGGTCAAGCTGGCCACATGACCCAGAAGCTGTAAAACCAGTAAAGCGAGATGAGCGCCGCAACTCCAGTCAGACACGACTGGACCTAATCAAAATACAACTATACCAAAAGGAATTACTGTGAAAATAAGATTGGGGTGTGTGTAAATTTTGTCCTGTCTCGGGGCGCCATATTGCCAAAGTCCTCCCCTGCGTACATGCATAGATAATTGCCACCAGCTTAATATTACCAGGTATGACAGATGCATTGTGAAAGCACACAAACTAAAATGTTCAATTCATGGAAAGCCACAGTATTGTAGCGGACTATCGACAGACAGCTCTCCAGGATGCATCTTTATGGTCCAGTGCGGCAAGAGCCAATTAACTCAAATTTTATAGCTCCTAAGTGCCTTTATTTGCAAGGACGTCACTACACATCACCTCTGCTCCTCCAGTATACTTGCCTGTATGTGTGTGGCCTTGTCTTTAGAGAGGAATGATATTTTGGGGAAGGCATACGGATGTTTCCATATGCCCATCCATATTCTTTGGTTCCACACAGACCACGCTTTCTTCCTTCATATTCAAGGAGGTGTGTGCAGTTTTGCTAGTAATGGAACAGATTTCCTGAGAATTAATCCCACTGGTATCAGTGAGACAGACGTATCTCCAAGCATGCTTAAGATGTATCGTTGGTTAATCCTCCCCACATTGCACGCACTTATCTTCTCTTAAAGTGCCACACGGTATCATACCACAAGCGATCAAAGTGATAATATCTCCTATGCTTTATGCTGGTTGTCAGGGAAGTGGAGTCAGGAGCAGGTCAGCAATAAAACACCCAGTGTCAGTGAAGCTGACACTGTTTTGGTTTCTTTATTCAAAGAAACCAAAACAGTACAGGCCTAGCGAGTACAGCAACTCTTCCCAGTTGCTCTAAGGAGGCAGTTGTGAGGACTGAAGGTCCCCGCCTTCCCCTGCTCTCTAAGATTCCTTCCCAAGCAACCTGAGGTTTCTTCATCTTGTCCGTCTTTGGTCTGCCCTCTTCATTCCTCTTTGTGTTCTGGAAGACCAGTGGGAAGGGGATCTGATCACAGCAGGAGAGGAAGATACCAGCTTCTTCACTGACCTGCCCTGCTCCTCCAGCCTCTCCGCACCAGCCTCTGAGTCTGGGCTGCTCTCTGCCTCTGCCTCTTCCTGCTCACTAAAGCCTGTTGCCTCTTCAGCTTCTGACATCTCCTCCCAGTCTGTTCCCTCTACTCCCTCTGGCCACTCATTGTCATCCAACCCCTGGCTCTGAGCCTTCTTTCCGTAAGGGTTCCCTTGGGGGGTTCCCCTGCTGGGGCTTTCCACCACTCCTCTGCGTCCAGCAGTATTATTATTACTTTCATATCCCACTTTTCCTTCAAGGACCTCAAGGTAAGGCACACAAGTCTCCCTCTCTGCATTTTATCCTCACAACATTCCTGTGAGGTAGGTTAGGTTCAATTTCAGAGGCAGGGCTAAAACACACATTCCCATAGCACAGATATTTCTGAGTTGCCTATCACTTTCTGAAATAGTACACAAACCAAAAAACAGCCACGCCTTTCTGAATTTTTGCAATGCAATTCTCCAGGCAAGTATACAAAATGCATATACATATATACACACACTAGGATGGTGTGCATAAATATACACATGTTGTTGAAAATAGTGTACCAAGTGCATTGTGTCAGAGGAAGGGGTTTTTTTTTGTTTTGCAAAAGTGCATATATTGGACAAAACTGCATGCGAAAATATGCTAAAATGCTGATGCACTTTCATGAATTTTCATGTTCCACAAACTGATGTGGAAATGTGGAGAGCTGAACTTAAAATCAGAAAAAATGAGAACATGTTCACCCACTGCTACTCCAAAGTAAATGTGTAAAAAGGTTGCAGCCCAAGTCCCCACGTTTGGGACACTCAAGGCAACTGCTCTGTTGCCAGTCATTTAATTCCCCCCTCCTCCAAAATACTACTTTCTGCAAAGCATTTGGACATTCTATGAAGAAGCATTTCCCCTTCTGATGAAAGAGGAAGAAATGGTCTGGGATGCACCACCTTTCCTCCCACATTAGAAAAAGGTTGGTTTTCTAATAATCGCCCCTTGGCATTCATTCTCAGTTTAATTTAAAGGAAAGGAGATGGAAATGGAACTCAGGGGCGGGTAGAAACTCCTGGATGAATGGCTTCCCTTAAGTAATCTGTGCTATTACATTAACTTTTCATTGAATGATCTATGGTTCAAGGCTAATTGTATTAATTCACAGCAAGGCATTGCAGCAGAACGAAGGCCCTCTGTGCTGCATAAACAGAGCAGAGAGGGCCTAATATAATCCTAAAATATTGATTTGCTCTCCTTTTCTCAGAGCAGTGTCCTTGAGTGGAGGTAGGGGAGGTCAAGGCACTTTTTGCAAGGTCATCTCCCTTTAAAGGAGAGAGGGAAATGAGAACACAGGGCAAACTCTGAATATTTCAGTTTGCGGCTTCAGGATAATTTAATTTTAAAAAATTCAAGACTGGAAAGAAACTCAAAAATCGTGCTGTACAGATGATTTTTTTAAAAAAACAACCCTACTAAATCATAACAATGTTCCAGTCAGTCAACCATATTTCCGTCTCTGCTCTCATTTTGAAAAGATATCTAGCCATATTCTGAAAATTAAAAATAATTGTTTTGATACTATACTATACTATACTATACTATACTATACTATACTATACTGAAACATTTAAATGTTTCTTTGTCCTTGAATCTTCCTGCCACACTTGCCATCCTCTTCTGCCATACTGGTGTGGAGCATCAAATCCTTTTGAGAACCACTGTTGCACACAATGAGCAATACATGTTAAATCTAGAGCTGAGAAGTCATTTCCCCCTAAGAAAACATCCGAGGTTTTTCCGTTTCTCAACCCTCCTAGCAAAGAAGGTCACTTTGCATTTTTTCTGAATAGTTTGTACACACACACACACACACCCTGGAACAAGGCTAGGTTCAGGACGCAATTTTCAATTGCTGCTGAAAACACAACAGCAAACCCTGAAGAAATAAGAAGGAAGCTGTGCTACTGCCACAGATGCTACTAATGGTGAGCCCCAGTGGTGAAAGCGTCCCCCTTTCCTCTGCCTGCTGACAGGGTGGAGAATTTTGAGAGGCTGCTAGCATGCAGCTCTAGTAAAATCAATGAAGTAGTTATCCAGTTTGGGAAATACCTTTAGGTAAAAGGTAAAGGACCCTTGGACGGTTAAGTCCAGTCAAAGGACACTATGGGGTTGCGGCGCTCATCTCACTTTCAGGCCAAGGGAGCCGGCATTTGTCCACAGCTTTCCAGGTCGTGTGACCAGCATGCCTAAACCACTTCTGGCACAACGGGACACTGTGACAAAGCCAGACCGCACAGAAACACCGTTTACCTTCCTGCCTCAGCGGTACCTATTTATCTACTTGCACTGGTGTGCTTTCCAACTGCTAGGTTGGCAGGAGCTGGGACAGAGGAACGGGAGCTCACCCCGTTGTGGGGATTCGAACCACCGACCTTCTGATCAGCAAGCCCAAGAGGCTCAGACAGGTGGCTGGATTTAGAGTAGATCCTGGCATATGGCTAAATCCTATAGATTGTGGGGTTTGGGGGTTGGGGGGGCATGACATGAACTGCCCTGAGATCTATGGCTGAAGAGTGGCATACAAATTTAATAAATAATAGTCTGGTGAGAGCCAAGCTGTACTGAAGCCCACATCTTTGCAACAACTTACCCCTTTCTTTCAGGCCAAAGCCACAGCAGATGCTGACCTCTCATTCTTGGCAGGGTGGTTAGGAAGGGAAGGATTACTTGCACATTTGAGCCACATTTCTATACAGTGGTACCTCGGGTTACAGACACTTCAGGTTACAGACGCTTCAGCTTACAGACTCCGCTAACCCAGAAATAGTACCTCAGGTTAAGAACTTTACCTCAGGATGAGAACAGAAATCGCACAGCAGCAGCGGGAGGCCCCATTAGCTAAAGTGGTACCTCAGGTTAAGAACAGTTTCAGGTTAAGAACGGACCTCCAGAACGAATTAAGTTCTTAACCAGAGGTACCACTGTAGTGTACAGGTAAGGCTTCTGTTGTGTTTCCAGTCATGATGTTTGATGTATGTGGCAATTAAGAAAGAAGAGAACTGACCTGGGAGGGGATGGTTGCTTCCTGCCTTTGGTGCCCTTTGCTGTTCAAGAAAATTTTGTGCTATGCCCTTTTTGTTGTGCAAATGGCAAAACAAGCAGTGGTCGGTTAGGGAATGTCCTCCTGAGCCCTGCTTATAACTGCCAGCGCTCCAGTCGAACCACGAATGAATTAAACAGCTGAGAGCAAGACCTGGAGATCAGTGATCTCACCAACCACTCACCTCCACTCTGAGGAACGACACCAAAGCGGATTGCGCCCTTCACTTTATTGCATTAGAAAATCTAAGCCTGCGCACCATGTTGCCCTTGATCATCTTTTCTGCAAGCCCCAAGTCCCCCATTGCTAGCTGCAGCAACCCCTCAGCAGGTCACTACTGTAACGACTGCAGAGGCACGACTTCAGACACCTTCCCACGCAGGTGTTTCTCCCTTTCTGAGCTACAGGGAAACAACAAAGAGAAAAAAAAACAGTGCTGTTTGCTGAGAAGTGGAGGCTGGCGCATTAGCACAAATGCAGCAGGGTCTCCTACCAGTTAGTTTCCACAAACCCTCCAAGTGTCCGTATTTTCCAGGGAGGGACAGTCCTGGATTTACAGAAGCCGTCCTGGTTTCTGATGCGATCTCAGAATGCCTTGCTTTTCCTTAGGATGTCTCTATTTTCATCGGGAAATGTTGGAGGGTTTAGAGTTATGCGATCCCCAAGCCAAGGAGATAAGTAACTATACAACAGTTAGAAGACATCAGAAGGCATAGAAATTTTTTTAAATGGGTAATGTTTTATTATGTTTTTATATATGTTGGAAGTCGCTCAGAGTGGCTGGGGGGACCCGGTCAGATGGGAGGGGTATAAATAATAAAATTATTATTATTACAGTGGTGCCTCGGTTTTTAAACACCTCCGTAGTCAAACGTTTCAGAACTCCACCAAAAACTCGGAAGTAAATGCCTCGGTTTTTGAACGTGCCTCAGAAGTTGAACAGGAAACGCTGCTTCTGTTTTGAGTTTTCCATACTGAGGCTTCCGTTTTGAGGCATCCGCTTTCAGTTTTTGGTTTTTGAACGTTTCGGAACATGAACGGACTTCTGGAATGAATTACGTTTGAAAACCAAGGTACCACTGTATTATTACTGAATAGGATGTCCCTATTTTCATCAGAGAAATGCTGGAGAGTATATTTTCAGCCAGTCCCTCACCACCGCTTCCTGCCTCTCTGCCTCTCCCCGGCTCTCACCTTCGCTTTTCAACATCCTCTACAGTCTCCGGCAGCTCCGTGTTTAACGTCTCAGGGAGGAAGAAGGCTGCTGAGCCACAGAGCACGGCCATGATGCAGTAGATCACTTGGGGCAGAAGCTTCCATAGGCTGTCCAGCATGAAGACGAGAGGAGCCACCGAGCCACCCAGGCGTGCCATGAAGGCGCAGTACCCTTGCCCGTTCTGCCTGGAAGCAAAGTGGAGAGGCATTCCATAAGGCTTGAGTCCTGCAAAGAGAGGCTGGGCATGGGATGTCTTGGGTGGACGATTCCATTCTCAGCTTATCGGCCGGGAAAGTGGTAGCTGGGATGTCTAAGGACAACTGGAGGAGACCTTTGGCAAAATGGCGCCCGGGGCTCCTTGGGAGGCTGCTGGCTCTTCTTGGAGCTGGAGCCCAGAATGGGAATCCAGGTGGGTCGGAAAGGGGAATGCATGTTATGGGGGAACCCACCCTGCTTCTCCCATGCATTTGTTTGTTTGGTTGTAAGTCTCTTTGGGTTGTCCTAGGCAAGAGAAAGCAACTAACAAATTCAATTACGAATAATAATAATAATATTAATAAGGGCTGAGGTGACTTGTGTCTAAGCCTTGCTAGCTTAGTGCCCTATTGAAAATAGAACTGCTGATATCATAATGGCATAATACTGTATTGGCCCGAATATAAGCTGCACCTGCAAATAAACCACATCTTTAAAATTTGGCGGCTTGGGGGAGGCTTGGGAGCCCGGCGCTTCCTGGGGCGGGGGGGGGAGCCGCGCCACTTTGCCAGGAGCATAAGGTCACAAATATAAGCCACATTTTAACTTTTCACAATTGGAATTTGGGGGAAAGTGTGGCTTATATTCAGGCCAATATAGTACCTATTTAATTTTTCTACGTTTTCCAAATTTTAACAAATCAAACCAAATTATTTAAGTATATATATATATATATATATATATATATATATATACACACACAGACACACACACACACACACACACACACACACACACATATATATATATAGTATATCCGCTCCTGTTGCAAAAATGTGTCCAATTCTTCCTGATGTGGCTGCTTCATAACAGCATAATACAAATCTATGATCTGACCACACTTGGAATATTGTGTAACACTCTGGTCCTTTCAACTCACTCAGCGCATTGGCTATCCCTGAATAAAGCAACTGAACATCACAGCTGTAATTTTTGGTAAATTGTTTGAGAAAAGCCAATGATTGGACTGTATTTATTTGGTGTTTGCACAGCCTGAAGGATGGAGGGTCATGCATAAGAAGGCCTAGCATCACGCCACGGCCATGCACAGGCTTCCAGCGGAGTCATTTGTGAGCTCAGTCGGGAGCTCCTCCTTACCTGAGGACAGTAGGGTAGAGTTCCGAGGAATACAAGAAGACGGTGGTGAAAGCAGCTTCAGAGAATCCTTTGCCTATGATGGCAACCACAGAACGCAAAATCCCCAGTGCTGGGAGGAGAAGCAGTCGGAAAAGGTGAAAGGAGCTACTACAAGGAAAACGTTTGCATGTGCAACAGGAAAAATCAGTGCTAACAATCCTGAGCATGTTGCCATGCTGTCGCAAGCACCTCCTGCAACGTTGTAATGGATCCTGAAAAGCCACTGCTTTGTTGATGTCCCTGACGGCACAGCTGCACTAGCAACTCTCACCTGGCCTCGATACCCATCATCTGGTCAGGAGGATGCAGGGGCTGAATTCAGTACTCCTACCCTCAAGAAAGATGCAAAGCTGGCCATGCCACCCATGAGCAAATGAAAGCCAATCCAGTACAGATTGTCCCATGGACAGCTCGGAGGGGTGAGGGTTGGAGTTTCATCCCGTAACACACCCTTTTTGCATGCTCAGAATTTGATTTAGTGAAGCAATCTGGTTGCAACGTAGAGACTTCATTTGCTAGGCTTTCCCCCCGCTTCCCCATGTAACCGCAAACACAACTTGGCTGCCTGGCAATGGCAGGATAGCAACTCGGGGACGGCCCTATCAGTAGGCAAAGTGAGGCAGCTGCCTAGGGGTCTTGAGAAGCAAGTGGGGCAGCTTCCCAGCCATTCTTCTGAGCCCCCTCAGAAGGACAGGGAAGCTGCGGCATGATCATTTGCATGCATTTTCTTGGCTTGAACAACGTTTTAAAAGGAAAACAACAACAACAAGAGGCAATAAGAATAAAGCCAAGCTACTTACACCTTGGGACGGCAATGTTGACTCCTATGCATAACCCGGCTAGGATGAGGGACCAGGCCTGGCTCTGCTTCCGTCCAAATCGATTCACCACGAGGTACACGATGAGTTTGGCAGGGATCTCAATGGCCCCAAAGACAAACTGCGTCATGTACATGCTCAGGCCGAAGCCACTGATGTTCAAGCTCATGCCGTAGTAGGAAAAGGCCACCCCAAACCTGAAGGGGAGGCAGATAAAGAGGTGGGCAGAGGAACCCCAAACTCAGGCCCAGAGAGGACGTTAACCCATGGGTGAGGTGAGGAGGGAGAGAGAAAGAGGTGTCTCACCACACGGCTCCCATGCAAAAGGAGATTTTCCTCAGCATCGGTGTTCGGAAGATGCTTACGTAAGAATAATTCCCACCTAGTTTCTGCTCTACCACGGCTGCTGTCTTGCTCAGCATCTGAAGAAGGGAAGCTGAGGTCAGTTCAGGAGTGGAGGACTTCCTCATGGTAGACCATCTGGTCTGCTGTCTCCCATCCTGGCTCCACCAGGCTATTAGGCATGGAACAAAGCTTTCCATTGTCACCAATGGGGTTCCCCGCCCCAAGCAGTGGGGGTTTTCTGGGGCTGTTGTAGCACATGGGGTGCCCCATGACACCCTCAGAAAAACCACCCCCTGTGGCAGTTAGGCATGAAGAAATCTTCCACTGACACGATTTTTTAAAAAAAATCAGAATTCACTATTGGCTTGCATGAGCAACAGCAGGCAACTCAGTGGGGAATTGTCTCTCATTCTCCCTCCATTAGTAAACCCTGTTGCAACAGGGGAAAGTATAAACAGAAACAAAACTGGGTCAGAAAGCCCCCCATATATATATATATATGAGAGAGCACGCAAATGTCAGATATTATTCATATTCTTCAGGTCTTTGGCTCAAACCGTTTCTGTAGCAGGATTTTCAATTTTTAAACAGGTTTTAATTGCTGGGTGTTTGTTTTATTTATAATGGTTTACCCCCATCTTTCTACCCACGAAGGCGCCCTCCCACAAGGCAGTTCGTAATATGTACATCCTTAAAAACCAATGGAGTCTGTATTGATAATACAAGGTACGAATGTAAGAAAACGTCATTCAGTCTTGTAGGATAAAAATTTGCAAATGGATCCTAATGCATCGAAAAAGGGAGGGAGGAGGCACCATGAGAATGAGGGTGAAGGTGAAAATTGTGGGTGCAAAGCAAGGCTGAACAACTTTGTAGCAACCCTGCCATATCTGGTTTTCAACATTGCGATAAATCACTAGCTAAACATTATGATATACTGATATTATCACGATGGCTGAAATAAGGATGGTGCTATGCAGAGGCCCGGGCTGGCTTCACAGTTTTTCCTGCATCGTGATTTTCGCATAGTGCACTCACGCACATACATCATGATTTGCGATATCCGAAAAGCAGACACTGGGCAGGCAGCCCTCACCGCTGTTCTATGTTGCAGTCTGTGGCATTTTCCATGGCAGTAGCACTTGGTGGTACAGTGGTACCTCAGGTTACAGACGCTTCAGGTTACTGACTCCGCTAACTCAGAAATAATACCTCAGGTTAAGAACTTTGCTTCAGGAGGAAAACAGAAATCGCGTGGCAGCAGCACGACGGCGGCAGGAGGCCCCATTAGCTAAAGTGGTACCTCAGGTTAAGAACAGTTTCAGGTTAAGAACAGACCTCCAGAACAAATTAAGGTCTTAACCCGAGGTACCACTGTATAGGGGTGTGTGTTTTCTTCATTATTAGTTCCTAATGCCCCTACTCAGTGCTACTTTTCTAGAAAATGGGGTTCTGGAACTCTTCATAAACACCTCCCTTGTTCTCTTAGAATGGCAATGGCGCCCGCCTGAGAGCAGCCAGGACTGAGTTCCGGTGAGTTCCGGATGAAAAAAAATAAATAAAAGCCCTGCCCCATTTCACCTCAAGGTTTATCTTGGCAGCAAACTCCTTTCGTCCATTCATTTTGGCACAAGCCTGCAAATGCTTGCGAGCTTCCTTCAACTTCCCTTTGGCCAGCAACCACCTGGCAGATTCTGGGATCCACCTGTTAAAAGAGAAAACGATCAGGTTGCCTGATACATTGCTCACATCCTCCATCTTATTTTGAAAAGGCCACGTCACACAATATGTTGAAAGCAGTATAATTCCACTTTAAATGGCCGTGGCTTCCCCCAAAGAATCCTGGGAATGATAGATTGTTAAGCGTGTTGAGAATTGTTAGGAGACCAATATTTCCCTTCACAAGATGCTACAGTTCCCAGACTTCCTTGGGAAAGGGGACCAGTTGTTAAATCACCCTCGGAATTGTAGCTCTGTGAAGGGAGTAAGTGTCTGCTTAGGGTTAGCCGATTTATTAATCTTATTATTATTATCGCTGATTTATTATAATCCTAGAATCCTAGAATGGTAGAGTTGGAAGGGACCCCCAGAGTCATCTAGCCCAACCGCTTGCAGTGCAGAAATCTCAGCTAAAGCATCCATGACAGATGGCCGCCTCACCTCTGCTTAAAAACCTCCAAGGAAGGAAGCTGAGAGGGAGCTGTTCCATTAATCGTCTTCTAAACTGCCATCTCAAGGTAATTTACACATAATTAAAAACGCTTAACAACACAAAAAATATCAGATACATTTAAAAACCTTAACAAATGGACACACGTGGCAAAGACCCGTTTATCCAGCTGGGGAAGCCTGTCAGAACAAACAAAAAAAAAATCTTCAATTGCTTCTGGAAAGTGCAGGTAATGGGCACCTGTGGTATCTCGACAGGAATGCTATTCCACAGTGATCTGCTGGGTTTATCAGGCATAAGGTGGTCTCTCAAGTAACATTTTCCTCAGCTGCATAGGGCCTTATATGTTAGTACCAACACCTTGAACGTGAGGCCTAGGGCACCTCCGTTAGTCCAAGATTATAGCTTCCTAAGGGCCTGTAAGACAGATTTGTACCGCCTGGCCTTTGGCTTGGAATCAACTTGATCCCCTCCCCCTCTTTCCTTTCTCCTTTCTCCTTCTGTGATGGAACTCCTATTTGGGGACTTCCTTGGCTTTTTTCTGGCCCACGTAGGACCAGTCTGGATAGTTGGCCTTGGTGAAGATTTGACGTTTTCATCCCCAAAAAGTTTTTGATTTGAGTTTCTACTGAAATGAGGCTGCATTTTAATGTTGTATTTTAATCTTGTTTTTAAATTGTATTATAATTAATTGTTTTATAACTGATGTAAGCCACCCTGAGCCCAGTATTGGCTGGGGAGGGCGGGGTATTAATAAAAATTATTATTATTATTATTATTACTAAGGATGCTTTTCACTAAAAAAAAGAGGGAGGAGTAAGCCACACACCTTGGCATATAATGTGTGGTTTGTGCTTGAAAGCTCCCAGAATCTTGTGCGTCCAAAACATGTAAGCAGCACGAGGAGGTATGATAATTGTTAGTTTCTCAGTTCTAGGAGTGGGGAGGTGGGATTCTGAAACAGACCATCTCGCTGCCTGTCACCTAGGTTCTAGGTCAGCCTGAACATTCAGCTCTTGGCAAAGGAACAACTTGGTGAACTATTACTTATACAAGATGCCAGTGCGTGTGGATTCAGCATTTGGCTCCAGGTGTCAGATGGCTCATTTCATTTATATCAAACGTGCTGGACACAGATTAACATAGATTGACACCCTTCTATTAATGTGTACTGGATGCAAAGTGCACGAGTCAAAGAGGCGAGACCCCTTGATGTCCTCTTTACAGGCACTGGCTGCATGAATACCAAACATTTAAAACACATTACTGCCCCCAAAGCATCCTGGGGACCATAATTTACCCTTAACAGAGCTGCAATCCCAAACACCTTAGCAAACTACAATTCCCAGAATCCTTTGCAGGGGTTCAATAAAATGTGCATTGTGCATGCATCCACTGTTACCTTACGTAATTCTGGTGGGAAAGTTAATTAAAAATCATGAGCGTTAACACACTATCCAGTTCTTCACAAATGAGATGGTTAAACTTGTCTCTTCTGCTTTCTGCTTTTGCCAATCCCAAGTTCAGTTCACGTCATTTCTGTATAAAATCCACACACTGTACACAAAAACCACATATTTCCTTAGGCATGTCTTCTAATATTCACATTTTCTACCCAGTTTTGCATAACACACATTTTTACAAGCGATTTCCCCCCAAAGATAATTATGATTTTGTGTGTACACACTTCCCCTAGTATAAATATATGTACACTTTTGGGGTGCGTGTGAAGAATTGGATGCCGCCTTGTACGCCTCCTTCCGGCAACTCCTGCAGCCCAGGCTGGTGCCAAACATATTGTTCTGCTTTCCTTTGGACCACACCAGCAAGGCCAAGAGGGGGTCTTGTCATCCGGGCAGTCCAGGACCTCTATACACACTGCCCAGGCTTGCGCCCCAAAGAGGTCACTTCAGTGCTGCTGACGCAGCCATTTGACTTCACCCCTTCGGGCACACTCCATTTTCTCTCAAGGCAGACAGATGCCAACAACAACAGGTTGAGTTGTTAATAGGAAACCAGGCTTTCCTAGTTTGCTGAAGCTTCTTACGCCAAAGGAGGAACAAAGTGGGAGTAATCAGGCAGCACACACCAGCCAATGCCTCATTCCTGATAAACCATGAATGATGTTCAGTTAGACAACCTTTGGGACCCCTCCCAGTTCCACAATTCCATGATCCAGATGGCTTATCCAAACTGACCATTCCTCCACTCTTTCCAGGCATGCAGCGGCGGAGGAAGCTGCTTGGGCGCCTGGGGCAGTGTGCCCAGTGATGGGGCAAGCCGCCCATAGGGGCAGGGCGCACCTCGGGGCCTCTAGTGTCTGCCTGCCTCCTCCCACTCAGCCACCTTACAGCTGGGGGAGGCAGTGGGCGGACCATTTGGGCAGCGCGGAGCCTGCATGCGCCCAAGCCACTGTGTCTTTCCCAGGAGAGATGCGCGACTTGGACGCGCTGCAGGCCCCACGGTGAGTGCCGCCTGGCATTTTGTCACCCTCCTCAGTGGTGGCACCTGGAGCGGCCCACACCCACTGCAGCCCCCTTCCTCCGCCCCTGCAGGCATGGTCCACAATACAGTGGACGCTCGGGTTGCGAAAGTGATCCGTGCAGGATGCACGTTCGCAACCCATAGCGTTCGCAACCCGCAGCTGCGCGTCTGCACACGCACAGGTTGCGATTCAGTGCTTTTCGCACGCGCAATTTAGTGCTTCTGTGCATGCGCGGTTGCCGAAACCCGGAAGTAACCCATCCTGGTACTTCTGGGTTTCGGTGGTCCGTAACCTGAAAAAGCGCAACCTGAAGCGTCTGTAACCCAAGGTATGACTGTATAAATCTCCTTTTCTGAGCTCCTTTGTTTTTGCTTTCCTCTGGAGCTTTCTCCACTAAAACCCTCTCTTTTCAAGCTCAATCGGAGCAAACGTCAATCTGCAGAAAAGCCAAATCGGTGTTTGCTCTGGTTCAGCTTTAAAAAGTGGGGTTTTTTGTGGGGAATGCTTGGGGCAAAAAAAATGGGGGGGGATCTCTTTGGACAAGGAGCATTAAAGCACAGATCTCTGCCTGGAAAGAGAGGAGCGAAAGGCAAGTTTGGATAAGGCCAGCCTGTAGAGCAACAAAAGTGGGACAAAAAGTAACCCAGAGCACTTATGGTATGAAAAGTTACAGGAGATCAGCCATAAACTATGGGACAGGCTTCTTCAACCTCGGCTCTCCAGATGTTTTGAGACTACAATTCCCATTATCCCTGACCACTGGTCCTGCTAGCTAGGGATCATGGGAGTTGTAGGCCAAAAACATCTGGAGGGCTGAGGTTGAGGAAGCCTGCTATGGGATATGCACTGAATGGAATGGATGCCGTAGGCCTGCCCCAAGACTTTTGCAGGCTCAAATAGTACTGAACACAAATCATAATGAATGCACAATAAAAAATGATGTCTGGGGGGGCCTACAAGCCCAGAGCAGGTTGCAAATGAAAACAAACTCATATAAATCATACAAGTGCTAAAAACAAAGCAGACAGTTGCAACCAGCCAACTGAAGAAAGCATCTATAGTAGCCCTGAAGTCCGCCGGTGTGCCTAGCTAGGTTGCCAGCTGGTTCTGTGAAGAAGATGCCCTTGAGGAAAGGCAGGACCACAAGCCATCATGCAGGGTTAGTTTCACCCACCACACAGAGACCAGGCCCACTGCACATGGCAAAGTAGCAGCAAAGAGCAGCCAACGCCAGTCTCGCACCAGGTAAGCGATCAGAGAGAGAAGCATATTCCCCAGGCTCCAGAAGATGCTGGTTATGATCCCAGAAACGGTGCGGTGCTGGATGTCTACCCATTCCATGCCTGGAACATAGAAATGGAGTTTAGCACACAAACAGACACACGCAAACGCACTTGATTGTGAGAGCCCAAACAGAACAGACCTAGATCTTACCGCCCAGACCCATTGTTTGCAAGCATTCATCTAACCATCACCCATGTTTGGAGTCAAGCAGCAATGCTCAGTAAAAGAGGCCCAGTCAGCTGCAGTGTCTTTGCTTTCTGGTGGAGACTGGCTTTTGCACCGCTTCTAAGCTAGCCTCTTTTTAAGGACTTGAACCTTGTGGTGCACATAGCAGCTGCAAGGACAGCTCTGCTGGTGCCCGCTACATGTGCAGTGTCAATCTGTAATACAGGGAAGAGCTGAATACAATATAGACCAACTGGGACAGAAGTGCCCAATTTGCAAAGTGCCCCCCACTTACAAGTATGACTGGCTCCAGTACCCTTTCCATTTCGGCCCCATTTATCTCTCCAGGCGTTTTGTGATTTTAAGGTTGGTGACTCTTTATTTTGGACAAAAGAAATACATTTTCACAATGGTTCAATTTTACATTTTCAGGAAGTGAAATAATATGAAGGGAATAAT